GAACGATAAATGCTGGCGAGGTTGTGGAGAAAAAGGAAGTCTCATACATTGTTGGTGGGAATGCAAAATGGTGCAGCCTCTATGGAAAATGGTATGGAGGTTCCTCAAACAATTGCAGATAGATCTACCATATGACCCAGCTATCCCACTGCTGCGAATATACCCAGAGGAATGCAAATCATCAAGTCGAAGGTATACCTGTTCCCCAATGTTCATTGCAGCATTCTTTACAATAGCTAAGATTTGGAACCAGCCCACATGTCCATCATCAGATGAGTGGATACGGAAAATGTGCTATATATACACAATGGATTACTACTCAGCTATAAAAAAGAATGAAATACTGCCATTAGCAATGACATGGATGGACCTAGAATTATATTAAGTGAAACAAGTCAGGCACAGAAAGAGAAATATCACATGTTCTCACTTATTTGTGGGAGCTAAAAATAAATAAATAAATACACACAAAAAAAAAACCCGGTGGGGGAAGGAAGGGAAGAAGACATAACAATTACAATTCCTTGAAGTTGATACGACAAGTGAACAGAAAAGACATTGTAGGGAGGGAGGGGGGAGAGAGAGGAGGGAGGGAGGTTTCGGTAATGGGCCACAATAATTAACCACACTGTATATTGACAAAATAAATTTGAAAAAAAAAAAAATGAAGTCTTTGTTTCTTTTCTAGCTCATTATCCCAGAGGAAGGGCTGCCATTCCTCTGACTTCTCCAGCTTGCTTTTCTCTTGCTGTGCTTCCTCAAGCCTGGGAAACCTAAGAGGGAAAAGCAAGACAGCTGACACTTTACCCAGCATGCCCTCAGACTCCTTTTTTCCCTTATCAGAGGGGTTCTCTTTGTTTCTGTACCTTTCCCTTTTGGGGAGATCTAGCCCTGCTCCTGTCTATCATCTGGACATTTTTATATGATAGACACTGTTGCAGCTAAAATGGTTTTTAAGCAATGGTTTAATCTCCCTAGACTTACACAGCCTGCTTTAGGAAGATACAGTTCAAAAGCAGATTATTAAAAATTGACATATAAAATTGCATGTATTCATTGTGCACAACATGATATTTTGAACAATATATACATCGTGGAATGGCTCAATCTAGCTAATTAACAAATGCATTACCTCACATAGTTATCGTATTTGTGGTGAGAACACATCAACTCTCCATTTTTCAAGAATACAATATTATCTTTATTAACTACAGTCATCATGCTATACAATAGGTCTCTTGAACTTATTCCTCCTAACTGTAATTATATAATTTTTGACCAGCATTTCCCCATTGCCCCCACCCCACTAACCATCTCAGCCTCTGCTAACCTCTGTTCTATTCTCTACTTGTACAATATCAACCTTTTTTTAGAGCATATGATATTTGTCTTTCTGTGCCTGGCTTATTTGGTTGCAAATGACAGATTTTTTTTTTTTTTTTTTTTTTATGGCTGAATAGTATTCCACTCTCAAAAGCAGATTTTTTTTTAAAAGTCATGTGAAACACTACCAGAGTAAAACATATTTAACATTATTAACTAAACAAATAAACAAACAAACAAACAAAACTAACAAGGTTTTAAGATCAAGACTTAAAGTTATTTCAACACAGTGGAGTTTAAAAAGAAAAAAAGACCATGAAAACAAATCATCATGTATTGGAACCTCACCTTTACAACATAAGAATAATTTTTCCATCTTTCACTACATTGTAGACTTAATGTGCTTTCATTTAAA